AGGTAATTCTCTCTGCTTATCGGGATAATCCACTGTGTTGGCATATAGTTGGCTTCACCACTGTTCTTACGCAGAATGCTCATGCCTAGAAAAAACATGATTCACCTTCAGCTACTTCCTTCCCCTCTGGAATGAGGATCTTGCCACTGTGGTCCATGCTTGTGTCACCTTTGGGATGAATTACTGCAATGTTTTCTATCCCAAAGGTTGCAAAAAGGTCAAGATGAAAGCTGTGGCTGATTCATCATGTAGCGGTTCTTCAGTTCAGAAGTGAACACACAGAGCATATCCCACCGGTCCTCTGTGGTCTGTATTAACTTTTCCCCCAGCCACAGAACAGTCAGGATACTGGTCTTCTAACATGCTTTGTCCAAGCTATCACAATGACAACTTGAAAATACAGAAAAGAAACAATAAACTGAATTTTGATAGAAAACTGTGTTTAAAACCTGAAGTCTGCTAAAGCATTGCACTGGATCTGTCAGCGGTCAGCTAATTGCAAGTTTTTAGTATACAGAGCTGCCAGCTAAAAGATTCAGCTATATCCCATACAGTCAATAAGAAATGGAGACATATAATTTTAAATTAGTCACAATATGATCTTCTCTGGACTGTTAGTAACACAAGAACCTCTTTTCACTCCATCCAGAAGACACTCTATCTTAAATCACTACTACTACTACTGCTCACCCAAAGAGGCATTTTTATTTTTGTCTTATCACTGGAAACATGTGGTGCCAAATTCAGCTCCCAGTTATACAACTGGAGACTGCAGTAACTGCGCTTGCATCCATCCAGCCAGAGCCAAACAGCAGTGAGCTTGCTATTCCGAATATTCCCACTGGGGATACTATACGTCTTCCCCAGTCAGCAAAACCTGGTGTGTATGTCCTGACTGTGCTCCTGCCCCGTTTCCCAGGCTTGGGTTAGGACCACATCACAGCCTTTTTGTTTAAGCAGTAGTGCTGAAGAAGAGCCATATTCCCCCTGGCCATTTCTTGTCTCCTGTGTACAGCGGCACCAAAACTTGTATAAAAAGCCCCTCCAAAGCCACCCAAAAGACAAGACCTTTCCACTTTGGAGTAGGACACTACCCTCTTCTCAAAGTACACAAAACTCTACATGAGCTTTGTGCAGCTATAAAGAAAGCCACTGCGGGTCTCCTGCAAAGAATCAACCTCTGATTTTCACTGTCCATTTCTCTGAGAAACACAAGAAGGCCCTGGGGAAGGGCTGCCACGCTCTCCCAGTGATGCTCTGGGAGTAGACTTTACCAGGCAATGCCGCCTAGTGCAGGGCAGGGACGGTGACACAAGCCCTTCACCACATTCTTCAGATAGGATTCTTTCACCCAGTTCCTCAGCAGAGGAGATGCATGTTCAGACTTCTCTGAAGGATATGGTTAAGTGTTAGGAAGCCAATTGTTTTGACCTCAAAAATACTCTAAATTTTCTCACTATAGTATGTGGTTAATCACATAATTTTTTTTCTTCTCACAATGCAACAGAAGCAAATTGCTGCAGAGGGAAGAACATTTATTTCCATGAAGAGGGAAGAACATTTATATGAACAAAAGTTCAGAAGCTACATTGCGTAAGACAAATTATATGGGTCCAAGATGTTCACGCTTCAAGGCAGAGCCCAACCACTAACCAGTACGCATCAGAAAAACTTCTGAGGATCATTCCCAAACCCTGGTTCCTTTTCTCCCAAAAGACCATGACTATCTACGTGCCCCAACCTCTGAACAGCAATTGGCAACCGATGTTGCTATTTGTCCTCATGCTTCCTCATAAAACTACTGTCAAATGAGTCCAAGCACAACCCTACAGAGAGCGTGCATACATCAGAAGGTTTGTCAGCTCTTATCCTGTAATGGCAATCGTACCTGCTGTACATTTGCAAATCACCTAGACCATTCATTTCATCCTTTATGGAAGCCCCACTGCAGCAATTCAGAACATGTACACAAACACGTTCAGCTGCTAGAGATTTATGGCTGCTTGAACAAACAATCCCAAAATCCAGTTCCTTTGTTTAAGCCTTATTATAAAACAAGACCTAAAACATATGCTCAGAAAAAAGTTCAGTGTGTCCTGCTACCTCACCAAACTATTTCAAGTTTGCATTTTGAAACTGAGCAGAAATGTATCTGTCATAAATTGTATTTTTAGAGCCTGGAATGGGCAGTGACTACTGCACAGGACTCATCAGCACCTTGATTTGCAGCTTGCCCCCTGCTGATTAAAAGCACACCAAAAAAATCTGGGTTGTGGTTTTTATTTTCACTCTAACTGCTCGGATACCTTAGTACATTCTTTCTTAATTAGCAATACTTCTGCACTACTCAGTAATTACATACTGTACTGAAAAGATCCCATGGGTCTTTTTTTTTTCCCTTCATCTGAGACACTTTGTCATCTTGGCTAAGGAAACTGCAATTGAAGACTTTGTGGAATAATGTTTTAAGTTACAAACAATGGATTAGAACCAATGCAATACAGAACTCTAAGGCTTTAAGGCTTTTACTTCATTCAAGCTTCACACATGTATCATCTCTACTATGTTTTCCCCTTAGCTTATTGCCCAAGGTCCAATTGTGAAATGCTGTAATGCAATAATTTTGGATGTCATAATGTCACTGAGCAGCTTTCCAAATGTTAGGCTGGACTTCTTGCCTGCCTGCCTTATTAGGTCTTACAGATACTTCTGTTTGTTGTTACCATTTTTATACCATCTGTACTAGTGATACTGGTTTTGATATATACTTAGTGTAGGTCTAGTCTAGAGATACTTAACTCTGCAAATTGCTGAACCTTCCCCCTATTCATGTTTAATAGCATTATTCTACTGACTTCAATAATGTCTGTACTTGTTTACTTTCACTATATTGCCCTAGTTCATTTTACAATTAAATCATCAACCCTGAAATCACAGGATTGCACTGCACAGAGTAGCGTCATTCCTAAGCTTAGAAACTTACAAGACATTACCTTGATGCAGATTTTTATTAATTTTCTAAATGAATTCCAAAACTTTTTTTTGTCAAATTCTTTATAATTATCTTCCACATAAACTTCTGATCAAATACAACCCTTCCCTCCCGTATGTGCATCTTGAACTAATTCTAGTTGGTTAGAACAATAAGCAAAACACAATTTGATTTCAAATCATGCATTTTAGAATTAAAAGACAAATGAAAACAGATATTGTCTACTTAAAAATGGTAACTCTTTCCAGTTTGTTTTGTAATGCTTACCAGTAACTATGGAAAATATTTTTGCTTTCATGGCCCAATGTATTTATTCCCCTGCAATCCTTACTAACCTTCTCTTTTCAGCGTGAATTTTTCATATTGCAGCGTGAATGAAAACATTTCATAATTTTTAAGGAAATTAAAAAAAACAACCAAACAAAAAACCCTACCCCAGAATTCAAACTAGGAAGTCCAGGGATAATTTTAAAGTTTGGTTTTGTTTTTTTTTTTACCCCAAGGAAACAAGAGATAATGTAATTTTTTCTTGATTGAAGCTGCAGTCTTGGTTTGTCAATTCCTATATATAAATTGTCAGCTTCCTCAACTCCTTGGTTATCTCCCAAAGTGCTTCTTACTGATTCTATTGTACCAGTCACTGGAGAACGATCTAAACAGTTTCAGTTCTTCGTCAGTTCTTCTGAAAAAACTAACCGTTATTGCTATTATGGATTTTGCTTTTAAACAAGTGGAATTTTAAGAAATGACTAGCTTTTACAGCATCCCTGTACTAGCAGAGATGAAAGAGAAAACTTATTCTTTGGAAATGAAGAAATTATTTGGTCTCAGTACTGTCATTACTTACTTCTCTCTGACAAAATTGCATGGTTAACTCCAGATAGTCGGTACCACTCCAAATCTACTGGTGGCTCTGGATGTAATTTTCAAAGGAAAGAACAGAGGAAGGTAGCAGGAAATAGCATTATTGCCATTTTGCAGCACAAACTGGTAAGCATTGTAACGGTGATGTTAACACAGCAAATCTCAAAAAAAAAAAAGTGATGTTCATAATTCATTAACAATGTGCGGCTCCTGAATTATATCCTGAAGCTTTCCTGAAACAGCTTTAAGGTCCAGAATCACCATAGACAACTCTGACAGTCCTGTAAAGGGCCTAGATTACAAGAACATTTATTTGGTTTAGGTCTTTTGTAGTCAGTGGAGATGAACAAGCTCCATCGGGGGGACACCTCAGGCTAGGGTAAAACCAGGCTTAAGCAATTGTTTTTAAAGCCTCTTCAACTAGGATGCTGCTACTAACTGGAACACGCAAAGGAGTCATGATGCTTAAACGCTGTGTAGTGTTAGCCAGTTGACTTACAAATTCAGCGTGGAAGTATGACTGTCTCCCAAAATACTCTGCAGATACACAGCTCTCATGAGATTATTCTGTTAATTGTTTTATAAAATCAAAAGAACATGCTGTTGTAACAGCAGCAAAATGCTAAGGTAGATAATACAGAGCTTTCCCTGGTTATAACTGGGGACAATACAAAAGATGAAAGAGATGACAAAAAATTCTTAAGAAGAAAAATTAAGCAGCAAGAAGGAAATTCTTTTTCGAAGGGATCATGCAGACACACCATGTATAATTCAAAAGTGAAGACACCAAACAGCAAAAAGAAAAGCAAAGCTGTGAAAATACTGCCTCTGCTGGGGGACAGAACCGATGATAGTGATTTTAAAGACAAGTTGTGTATTTTTCCTTTCTAAAGAATTTGCATGAGGCCTAATACCACAGGAAAGACATGCTTCCCTCTACCAAAGGCAGAGCATTTATGACTGTACACGTCGCAGTATGCTCCCAGTTCCTAGGATCAGCCACAAAGACACCATTTCACTGCAACCAAACTGGGAGACGAGCATTTTTTCTGAAGCACAACAGAGAATCTAGTCTATCTAGCCATCATCCAGTGAATTTATTGTTACTATTATCCATACATTTATTTTATGTCCATTTTCTTACCTTATATTCTGAACCGAGGGACTTAACGTTTCATCCGGAACATTACTGGTTACAGCTGCATGTCCTTCCGTGATGGGCTGCAATGGCTGCATTACATGAACTGTCCGAAAAAGCTGAGTGGGATGTACTGGCTGCGGAGATTGCATTGTCCTCAAAACTTCTGAAGTCAAGCCAGGTGTCTGCTGCTGTACAACTTCTGCGTGCTCCTTCAGCTTCGCAGGCTTTGAGTTCCCTGTTTTTAGCACTGTGGTTGATCCTCCCTTTGTTCCCGCGTTTGCAGACGCTCTAGATCTGCTCGACTGGTTTCTATTGGTCACAGGAGTTGAGAGCAGACTTGAATCTGATGATTCAGTGCTAGGGCTCGCATCTTCATCATCTATATAGACGAGATCTTTTGGCATTTCTTTAAATTGATATACTAGCCGCTGACCTTCTACTTTAGCGAGTATTCCTCTTTGGTAATAGTATCTGTTTAAAGCGTACACACATCAAATTATACAGTGTTTTTGCCAAAAAACAAACAAACAAACAAAAGGCAACAAACCTCTCTAGAAAATAAGACTAGCAGTAACAAGTAAACAATATTTTAAGTGCCTAGTTTCTTCATTATAAAGGAGCGGCAAATTTAGTAGCATATTTTTTCCTCAAACAACTTTCTTTTACTGGTATTTCTTGTCACCTTTTAATTTCAACCTCAGATAACTCCGAGGAGAAAAAGGAGAACTCTGTGACTTGGCAGCTCTGCTATCAACTCATACTCTTTAAAAAAACTTGCACGAAACTTGTAATTCTCCGCTCGACTCATCCAGTTCTTTCAGTTACCTGACTTCATGCTTATTCACCAGTGAGGACAGGCAGACATTTTAGCTACAACAAAGCAAAGGGAATAGGACAGCAGGGTGCTACATCTGTCACTTTTACAAATTAATAGGACAATTTGAAATTACGCACACCGAGGTGAAGGGACATGAAAAGAAATGCATAGCTGCTCAACTGGACAATTACCAATCAGCAGGTAAGAGTGAAGCTTCATGGATGTCTGCTTATTGTGCACAGTCTTTTATGTATGAGAAAAATCCCAGCCTGATAGGCAGAGGCACATTGATAAAAAGTTTTAAAACTGTCTGCGTACACAAGTTCAGAGAAGCGCAACCAGACCTGAATTCTAAAACTCTATCTTCCACTGGAAACACGATCATTTGCAACAAGCAGAAATAATTTCATTAATACACCTGAATTTGGGATTTTTTTGGAGAAAAGAGATTCAAATTTTATGTAAAAAGCTTGCCTCACTTGGAATCTTCAGTCTCTTACTTTGTCCGTGGCTGACTGTGAAGATGTAGTTTTTGCAGCAGCACTCAAAATGTCTGAGCTGAGACTGAAGGGGACTGATTTGGACTTGAGGTTAGTAAGGGTTACTTCTAGTTAGATTATTTGTTCTGCTGAAATAACTTCTTCATTTCCCAAACTGATAGAATACTAACTCTTTTCTGTTGATACACAAATTACATGAGGCATTTAATGCATGCAAACACTAAGGCAGCAAAACCAGTCTATTATTAAAAAAAGCACATACCTGAGGGCTCTGCCCATTGTTTCATAATTCATGTCAGGTTTGTTTTTGTGTTTTCCCCACAACCTGGACACAGCCTTGGAGTCTACCAGTTTGAAAATGCCCTTCTCTCTTTGAGTCCATTTGATATACTTAGGACATGTAGCTTTGTCCTGGAGCAGTGCTAGTAAGAACTCCCAGAGATAAATTGTATTTCCTAAAATAGAAGTATTTCAGGACATAGGAAAAAAAAAAAAGAAAAAAACCCAAATTAGTTGACTGTATTTTACTAATGATGTAAATAATCTACAAATTAAGAAGCCGGCATCTTTACAAATGCACTGTAATATATCGTCAAGACTAGCAAATAGTGATGGAAGGGCATGGGAAGGGATTCTTGTTAGTTACTATAATCTAGGTGCCCAAACACCCTGGCCGCTGTCTGTAACCTACAGAGTCAGGTACCAGTCAACCTACAGTCACCCATTCCGACCACCGACATTAAACAGCATTAGTCACCCACGTGTACACTTCCCTCCTGCCTAACCCAGTCACAGAAGCAGTCACTATTGCTTTACCTCAAAGAGGAACATGCTCAGGTCCATCCTCTTAAAGTGCTGGAAATCAAGCCCTTGCTTAAATACTTTGCTGAATTCAGGTGAGTGTTACAATCCTTTAAGAGACTAAAAAAATCCTTACTTTTAATCATTAGATTTATATGGGGCAATCAGTGGCACATGCCAAGGTAGGCAAACCTTCAAGAATAAAGCTCAGAAAAAAGGTTTTGTTTTGTTTTTTTTTTTTTAATCCAGTGAGTGCTTGCACTTGCTGGTATACAGCATTCAAATTTCATTTTACAAACAAGCAGGCACAAACACTTATATATGGAAATCCACATCTGTTTACCAATATAAAGAAACAGTATTAAAATTATAGATTGTGAATACTTAAACTACTACAAAATTTGCGTGTTCTTTTTTTCCAAGAGCACATTTAAGGAGTCTAAACTCAGATAACTAATGAGACCCTTTTTCCTGCTTTTTTTTAAGGCTTTTGGTATCTGATGTTCTTTTGAACACTTGAAGCTGCACGTAAGCTTCTTAGTGATATGTTGTTAGCCTGAGAAAGAAAGAAAGAACTTCTCATATGAAAGTATCACCTCCCACAAGTAGCCGTGCAAAAACACAGCAAGGACAGCGTGTGCAGATGTCTTAAGTTTCACAAAAAAACGATGCCCAGTGCATCAGAAGGGGACAGGAGCTCTTCCGTTAGCTTCAATTTAACCCAGCAGTTCTTTCAACTTTAATAACCACCAGTCTGAACATTTTTCAACGAGGAGGTGTCTTACAAATTAAAACTCCCACATTACTGTATTATAATCTATATTTTGGAAATATTCAGCAAAGTCACCAGCACTGGCAGTACGAAATGTTAGCAGCTCCTTCAGCAGTTGGAGACTTGAAAAGTGAGCATTCCTAGAGAAAAAACAGTGCCTTTGCAACAACTGTCTCCCAGCTTACGGTTGAGACAGCTTAGGCAAGACAGAATGTCGGCCAGGAGTGCCAGCATTCCCAGCCACTTACCATCTAATCCAGGGTGCTTTTGCTGTAGTCTAGACTAAAAATGCTCAGCTGCAGCAAGGCAATCTGAAAATTTGTCACTGCTTAGCCACTGAAAATCACTGTGAAGAGGATTGTCTGCAAAAACCACCTCTGCTTTACTCACAGGCAGAATTTTTAAGCTCCTCTGAGTAACAGCAGAAGAAATATGCAGAAAACTCAGTTTTCTCCATGCATTGCATCAAATAATTATATGGAGGGCTTGGGATTTTAGCATACATGTTCCCCTTAGGGGAACACTGTGGATACTGACAGGCAACTCTCATGATTCTCTAGCTGCTTCCTTGCTACAGCCAGTTATATTAATGTCCCTTTTACTTCAATTCTATGTTCCTCAACAAAACAAATGCTTTTGTTGTAACTTTTTTTTGTAAGAGGCAGTGGTTTCAGGCCACACGCTCCTTTTTAATTCCTTCTGAATTAGCAATTTTGTAACAATGGACGAGTATGAAATATGGTGTATCCCTGCTATCATCGACAGAAACATTAGACTCTTATGCCTTTCAATTTTGTGGCTAGCTGCTTTAATATTTTCTATTATTTCATTTGAGCACTACTTGGAGGTTCCTCTGATACTCTTCTTTCATTTTTACTTCAAAATCATGTTTTAATTTAGAAAAAAAAAAAAAGGCAACAATGCATACTCCAAATTGCTGGCATCAACCTGTTAGATTTGCTTGCCAACAGTTTTTTTCCCCCTGTTATTGCAGAAAATCCTTCTTCAAAAGTAAAAAAAAAAACAACAAAAAAACTCATTTGTCAGTGCTGCAACTTTTCTGATTTCAAGAGAGCCTGATATTCTTATGGCACCACCTTCCAGGTTTGGCTGGGTTTCTGTCCTGGCAAGTATTACACACATGCAAGCACATCAGTCCCCGGGCATGCATGCAGGCACTCGTGGTGACACAGGGGAGGCTCATTTCCAGCTCACTCCAAGCGCAGCAGAATGCGGTGGGGGTCAGGGCATCAGGCTGCCATTCAGACGCCAGCCTGGGCACGGGCGCTGGACCCAACAGCAAAGCAACCGAGTTGTTGAAGAAACTGACAGGCACTACTGAACAGCGGAGGAAATGATTTATTGTATCAGTTATGTGGTATTTATTTTCCTTCTTCCTTTTAAATACAGGAGAAATGGAAGAAGCATCAAAACTCCAAGTTTTCTGCCCAAGTCTTCAAGCTGCATTATAACTTTCCTCAAAATTCAGGGCTTGGTACTTCCTGTTGCCAGCTGGCAGCCTTGATTAGCTCCTCATGCAGAATTAGACACAGACAGATAGAAAACATTTTCAAAGATCATCTGTCGAAATAACCATACTAATACAATGCAAAGAGCTCCCCAAGCCTTCACTCAAAAAGCAGCAGCCTCTGTGTGGGGTTGAAGAGTTTCCAAGAACCCTTGCAACTAAAGTGACAAATATATTATTCTCCCTGGGAACTGGGTATTTCACCAAGAAAACTTGTGCACTATTTTTTTACTTGCCTTACGATGAAATGTTAACCACCTCCCAAGCCTAAGAGTTGGTCTTACAGCACAAGAGAACTAGTGAACTTTTTCTTTTTACAGGTCACTCAGAAACAATGTTCTTTTAAAAACTTCAGTGACAAGTCTTTGACTTACCCTTTCCATCTTTGTTTTTCTTTTTCACAGATATGTTTGGAGTTGTGGTAGGGGACTCGGGACGAGATGGTTTTGGCTTCTTCCCTGAAATGAACCACCAGTAAGTCAACTGCAACTTAAAAAAAAGGAAATAAAAAAGAACAAGGACCTAAAAAGGGAAGAGATTTGTTTCCCCAATTCAGAGAGGATTCAATTTCTAGTAAGTTAGGAGCTCAGTTTTGTGCTGAACTTCTTCAATTTCTACAACAGGAATGCACCTCCTATACTCTTAGTGTACTTCTAGTAAAGATTCTGCTCACTTTTTCAAAGTGCATGTACATTGGAAATTTCCGTGGCTTTTTAGATACTCTTGAAGAGCACTTAAAACAGATGAGATGAGAAGAATAAGCTATTAACCGTGGGCAAGAGTTTAAACAGGAAAAGCTAGATAAAATACAGAGCACTATCTTGTTCACTCATCACCAAACAGGAATTTAGGGAGAAAACAAGATTGTCTGCTTATTTGATAGACTGGAAGTCTCCACTGCCAGCAGCAAATTGTACTGTTGTGTGAAGAAAAGATTTTTCAGTCCTATTGTCTTTTACACCTTCCTCAACAGTGGCTACAGGTAAAGGAAAGTCACTTGTTTGTTTAAGACCAGCAGAACCAGTAACAGGTTCTGAAAAACACCAGTTTTTAAAGTCATGGTGGCTCTATCTGGTGAGGAAGACTGAAAGCAAGACTTTAGTTACAACCAGTAACAAGAATGAAGAGCATTCATTTGCAAATGTTGAGAAATCAACTATTTAAACATAAGTGTAGTAAAAAATGTAAGTCATCCTGAAGTATTTTTCAATATAAAACCTTGAACCTATTCTTTTGATAGTTCTCATTCCCTGCAATGGTAACTTTTACAGGTAACGTAATTATTCAGAAACGTTCAGAACTTTCTTATGAAATAAAAATTTCTCTTATCAGGCTTTGCAGTGAGCCCTTAGTTCACTGACAATACCTAAATTATTCACATACTACCTTTGCTCTTTTGAGAGGCAGAATAGACCAAGCAGACACAGGACTCAGAGAAAAATAAAAATATTTTTCTTTAGATCTTTAGTTAGAACAATATGCTACTTGAACTAGAAATATGTTTCTCCTGTATCTCCTATTTATTGCATTTCCAAAGAGTTTATGTTCTAAGGAGGCAGGACCAACAGGCCTGTGCAGTCCCATAAACTGTAACATTCTACTTTTGGTTTTGTTTTCAGGGGCTGTTTTAGTAAGAAAATGGCTCTGCTACAGAGTAAGAGTGAGGGTTTTTTCACTAGCTCTGAAAAAAAATGCTGAGAGCCAACCTGCACCGTCTACTTTGTTCTAGACTTCCAGGTATCTACAAAAAAGTCGTAAGAAACACTGGCTTAAGCACTCACCTTTCGACATTAGTAGACTCCCTAAATCCACCTTTGCACCTTTTTCTTTCTCTCCCTTTTTTTTTTTGACAGGGCATGAGGGAGGAGGGACAGCTAGTTGAGAGCGCTACAGTGAGGAAACTCTAATAATGCCTGGAGTACTCTAATCTTCTTGCTTCTATTCAGACAGGATTCATGACTGAGGATGGGACACAAAGTTCAGCCACTGTCTTGACCAGTAATGTCATCTTTGATTTGAGTGAAGATGAGAGGCAGGAAATCCTACAATACTGGGGTTTTTTTATATATCATCATATGAAAGGATAAAGAACTACTGGAGTACACTTTTAGCAGCTTTGTTCCACTCACCGTTAACTTGTTTCAGAAATGTCTGTTTTCCCTAAAAAGTCTAGATGAAGTCACTCTTGCATAGATCAGCTTCTACTGCATAAGAAGTCCCTCAGCGTAACTTTGGCCAAGTACTTTTCTACCCTTAGAGTTCTGTCACGGGAAGACTCTGTAGCTCATCTTGTTTCTCCTCTGGTACAGGTATAAATGTATGCCATTAAGAAGTGGGGAGTGTTATTTTGATGTCATTAATTACCTTGTGTCCAAATGAGGTCAGGTCTTATAAGAAAATGAAGTGGATAAGGGCTCAATTAGGTCATGACTGAACTACTGTCGGTCAACTTCAGGAAACGTAAACACCGATCACACAGAATTTATGCACTTCTGATTAGGGATAACCTCGGCTACTACCAAATATGAATACTACTGCTACAGCAATGCTAGGCTCTCTTACTTCAGCCTAGACTACTTCAGGACATCCTATCTGGAGAATCCTCTACCAGAACAAAACCCATCCAAAATTAGAAATCAGTGAAGAACGTGAAACTTGTTTACAGAAAGGTATTGATGTTACTGCTCTATATCTGGGCTAGAGATACTTAAGACGATGGGTTTAGACAACCCTGTGAGCTGTATCTCCAGGCACTGACTGATACCATCAAAAACATAGTTAACAGAGACACACAAGATATGTTTCCTTTGTTTAAAAGAAGATATTTTCTGAAAGCACATTAAGCATTAGCACACTTCCTCCTTTGGTTCGATAGAGCATGAATTTGTTACCTTTCAGAGCACATCACTAAATTCCTTTTTAGGAGAGAATTTTACAAAGGGGAAGGATGAAGAATGTGCAAGAGCTAAGCCTTATGTGGGGCTACTACAATTTTGTATAGCTAATTAAATTTATAATTGGTATTCCCACTTTCCTATTTCCATGGTTGCAAAAACATTTCAGGTTAGAAATTCATGCTACAAATTAATGTGATATTTAGACAGTGAGATGCTCATCCCAATTAAATATTTTATACCACACCAGAAAAAGTTCAATACATTTTCTTGCACTGTTTTCAGTGGTTTTTGTTAAAGAAATATAATGTATGTAAAAACACAATAAATAGTATGTATCTAAAATATAACATGTATGTAACTTATGTGACCACCTACTGCCAGATACCTCCACAGCAAAAACGGGACTGAAGGTATTAGTATAGCAAATTTCCAAGTTTCTTTCTCTGACATGCCTTTGTTTTTCCTGTCTTTCTGATCTGTATTCGGCAGCTCAGTGTTCAGACATTTGTGAGAACAAACATCATGCTGAACATGGGTTTGGAAGTTGAGCAGATGGGTGGATACAGCTCTCCTGCTGCAGCAATAAGGCCCATGAGGAAAGGAAGTTAAATCACCTCATCACTACTGGAGAACATTTTTCTTGGAGGAGCACTACTTGGCAGTGCCATTCTGTCTCAGTTTGCTGGCAATGCTCTGCATGATGCAATGGTGTAAGTTTAGCTGATGGGTTATCTATGCTAGAAGTCTGCAAAATCACGAGTGGTATGGATAGGGGAGAATCACCATGGTCCTTTGCCATGCCACAAAACCGCTCAAAGGAATGGAAACAGACTACACTTAAACAAAAAAAAAAAAAAAAACAAAAAAAAAAACCCACCATAAACCAAAAAGAACGTCCCACATACACTGCTTGTCATCCTAAAGTACACTACAAAATGTATAACATTTTGCAGTAATTATTGTACACCAATGCCTTACAAATCCCTGGACACTTTGAAGTAACACTTCAGCATGACTCTGATCATGCCATCTACCCCATGAATTCTCAACTTCATTGAAAACCAGTAGTTAGTGAGACATGAGGCTGATGCATCTTTTCTAGTATTTTTTCTATCTGATGTAAGTGTCAAGACCAAACACACACATTTGCTGCGAAGTAACTGTTTTTCTAACCAGCAAGGGAGGAGGAAGGAGTGGGAGTAAGCAGAAGCACAACACGAAAGAGGGTATGAAAGCATCAAGCCAAGGAGGTTAAATGTCTGGCAGACAGCGGCTCCTTGTTTTGACCCACATAGCAGCCAATGTTAAGAAGAAAAGAACAAACAAACAAACAAAAAAATCAGTTTGAAATCCTCTTACGGTTGGTTATCTCGCAGTAGTGTGCATAGCATGGTAGTTTCCCCAGCAGCACTCTTGGGGCAGCTGCTGGTAAAGCTCTCCTCCACAGCAGTTTCAGTTCAGCTTTCTTACAGGAATCAGAGACTTCCCGACCCACACCCGTCCGCTACCAGATCTTGTGACACATGCAGGGTTCAGGAGGCTTCCCCAACATCTCCACAGGCCGATATGCTCTCTCTCACAGATAACAACTCCCAACATTTGGAAGTAGCGGCATCAGCAGGACTATGACTGGGTAGCAGAAGCCCTGTTTTTTCACAGGGGAACCTGTGAGAGTCCTAATGCTCTGATTCAGCCCTAGGATTAGTTCCAGAAACATAACTCTCTTGGTTTACTTTTCTTTTTTAAAATTTGTTGCAACAGCACCTCACATCTGCCTACACTGCATGACTCTTTTCCACTGCAGACATGAGCTTCAGGACCTCTGATGGGGTCCACGCTGAAGCAGGGTGGGCAAAAAAGGGGCAGAAGGTCTGACTAACACCACTTCATTACTCTTTGGCACAGCACTGACTCCGATGGAACACCACTCAGTGGATGCTGTGTATATGTTACATACCACAAATGGGACTAACACTTACTATAGCATACAGCGATTTAAAAAAAATTAAAATGAAATCATTCATATTGAAGTAAAAGCTAAAAACCCCTCCTTGTTCTCATCCCATATTCTGAGCAGATCAAGTATCTTTAGTTGAAGCTAAAGAAGAGCTAATTAAAGTACTTCAGGATTCACAATAACAAAAGCTCTATAGCTTGTATTGCAATTCTGTTCTGAGGAGGAAACTATAAAGAGAACAAGTAGAGATTCATGTTTCCTGTGGGATAAAAGCCATCACTTCTACTTCTCCAACATCATTAGTGTCTAAGCACCAGTATCTGTGCTCACATTAGCCAGTAAGAATACACTTTATCTGTACTTCTAGCTGAGCCCTCTCCGTTATTTTGACCTGACACTCAGAATGGTTCCAGACACCCACAGGGGAGGCGAGAATGCCGCTCACTGCTCCCCTATTCCATGATGCTGTTCTCCAGTAGCATCTTACCTTTTTTCTTCTTTGGTTGTTCAAACTCTGGAGTCTCTGGTGATTCAGCGTAAGGGTCTGGGGCTTGGTGAACTTCCACCACCTCAGGAATCCCATCAAGCGTGACTGACACGTGTGTAATAGGAGCCACCATATCATCATCTTCAGTTGTGCCAAACATAGTTGCTTAAGGGAAAGGGACAATAGGAATATTTTCACACAGCCACAAGGACTTTTAAAAGCTTTTTTTTTTTTTTAAGAGCAAAAATGTAAATATAGAATAAAATAAAAATATGACGCTTAAGGCCTTCATGGAAGACTAATTCATAATGCAATATATGTGCCGACATTTTAGACAAGCAGAAGCACTATTAAAATAGAATAATTGAATGATACAACCCACTCCCTCAAAAAGCACATTTGGTGATCACACATTTTTTTTTCATATTTAAGGCAATCTGCAGATGTAAGCGTATATTCTTTTATCTTGGCAACATAAACAGACTAATCCTCTATCAGCCAAACAAAACACTGCAATCTAAACCATCCAACTTCATTCGCCCTTTCCCTCTGTAATGTTTGATTCTTTCCTTACCTGTTCAACACTGGCATAGCAATGAAATCCTTCATTGCATACAACACTGGATATCCGACATCCAAACTATGTATGTAAAGTCTACCTGGAAGCAAAATAATCTTACCAATTCCATGCAACCATGCTGCACTGAATCCCTCCTTCTTTCACAAGTAAGCAAGGCAAATACAGATTGGATTTGCTCTCATAAAAAACTTACCTATTCTTTTTTCATCCAACATAGGACCAGGGGAGTCCATATTGAGAAGTGCTTCAGCAGCCTCGATTGTTTCCATTGTTTCATCTCCATTATGGCAAGATGCTTCGACTAAAAGCAAGAGAGAAAAAGCAATTCTTAACAAGCTACAAACTGGACTTAGAGCTTAACATGATATTTATTCCTATTTCATTTCTAGAAAAAAAAACAAGGTAGTAAACACGGTCTTCTATTAGCTGAGCCGTAACTGTTAGCTGGGGAGAAAATGCACACTGCTATCATTTCACTTATTTAATGCACTACATTCTTCAGATTGTATGTATTAAAAAAAACCAAAACAAAACCAACACAAACCATTTGTTTCTGCCTCATCTTTCTAACCCCTCTCTTTGCTGATCAAGCATATGCATTAAAACACAACACCCATGAACCCGAAGAAATATCACTACCACAAACAATATTCCAGACAGTATCCATTTAAACCCCCAATATTGCTACTTTCTTCTTACGTTGGTCCAAAAGAAGTGAATTTCATAATTAAGAGATGCTCACCAAAAATATTGTGTCATTTGGCCTGGAGGACAGACAAGAAAATATTCCACAACTTCTGTTAGAGAGTATATGATCTAAAGGTGTAACTGAATCCTCAACCATTCAAATCCATGGGGATTAGAGGTAGGGCTAAGAGAGCAGGTTCCAGGAACACATGGGAAAGCAAACATAAAACACAAAAAGCAATACAGCGGGCTGGCAAACTTTTGAAAAATGTTGACTACTAGACAATCCCTCATTGACCTCATAAGGGTGGTCATTAGACAAATCCAAAGTTCTTGAACATTCATTTATAATTAAGCTCACCTGAAGCTACACACCAAAAAAATCCAATAAAGTATCATTTTGCAAAATAACAGCTGTCCAAGAAGGTAATATTGGTTTGACTGGAGGAGTACCTTACCAAAGGATTTTTTTCAAAATAATTGTAGCATGACAAATAAATTAGATGTTAGTTCCAGTACTTGGTACTGTAAACCTTTAGAACTGTTTAACACACTCTTTTAGAAATTACTCTTTGTTGGATGGAAATGTACAGGCCAGGCTTCCTTACCCTTTCACACAAATTTGAAGCTATGTTAGGGAACTCACTTGCATCTATAAAAGCAGTACAAAAGGGTGTATTAGTATTCCCCTCCTTAGGACACCAATGAACCTCAGTTACTTTCTCAGTCTGGCAACGAGTCAGCTTCACGCCCTCTCTCCCTGCTTAGCTTTGAGGAATTTTGGGTGGGGCAGTCACACACAAAAAAACCAACCAAAAAACACCCCTGACAGAGCAAGCAAAAATGCACCATAAAACACAATGCAATGATCTTGGAACATTTCTTCTTTGCCTGAAAGCAAGGGGTTTATGCCAGAATTTCTATACTGTAAAAAAAAAAAAATCAAAATATCACAGTAACAACAAAGCACCCAGCTCACTAGCACTAAACAATCATGCAATTAAAAAAACAACCAAACAAAAAAAGCCCAGTTTCACCTCAAATATTTACAGCTTCAGCAATCGCATCATTAGGAGAGGGCAAAGATGAATGCAGACATCCATACATCAGCCCTCTGTCCTCCACCGAGCCGTGATTTACAGGCAGCACATGGAGCTCAGGAGAAGCCTGCTTACCTTCTGGATTCTTTCTTGACCTTAGTTAGTCCTACCATGCCCCAAGCCTCAGAGGCTCAGGCTTAAGAAAGAATAAAGTAGTTGGGCATTGGGAACCCCTGAGCCGCACAGCAACTCACCCTGTTGTCTACAGGACCCCCTCCACCCCACGTCTTACACGAACACTCAGTTAAGCATCTGCACCTCCTGGCTGACGTCTCCAAACAGGCTTAAGAAATGAGGAACGCAGAGCTGGGGAGGAGGACAGCATGAAGAGAAAAGGGGAGGTACTGAGTATGGACTAGGGACCTGGCTTGGGAAGCCATAGAGCGAGATGGGGCAGCAAACCGCTGACACTTTGGTCGTGCAGCTCGCAGGCTCAGGGGCTCAGCCGTGGAGCCCCTCAGCCCCAAGAGCCCAGCAGCATCCCTAGGGAACGCCCGGCCAGCTGAGGAGGAGAGTGAGCCCAGCGCAGCCCACACAGTCTGCAGGCACGCTCACGCTTGGCCCGGCAGTGCTGACTTGGTCGCTTCTGGTTCTAAGTTTATGGGAACTTTCGATAACATCTACTAGCATAACGAAGACCACGATAAGGATGTCACCCTAAATATAAGCACACGGCACTGCCAAAGCAGCTGTCATCAGCTGTGACTTCGTCTGAATGGACAGGAAGGTAACCTGCCACAATCCAGCTCAGCTGAAGCCATTGACTAGGGCTGGTTTACGCTGCCACTTAATTTTAAAATCCAGCAGTGGTACCCCTGGTTCTCAGTGCTGCAGGCAGGGAGGAGGCAGCAGCTGCTGTTTGCTCTTTCCTCAGCAAGAGCGGTACAAGGAGCAAACCCTCCCACTTGCTTTCAGGCACTGACGTGACAGAGCACAGTCAATTCTTCACTCTGAGTAATGGCAGGTGAGGCAGAGGTGGCCAGCTGTTACACCATGTGGCTAAAAATCAACCACCCATATCCAAGACTAATGAAAGGAACTTATAGTCACATAAATAAAATAAAATATAATTTGATACTCTCAAAAAACATAAGGAGTGCCAGCTATCTGTCTATCCACAGATACAGAATGGCAAAAGTGAGTTTCTTAATCACATTAATGCCCTTGCTAACACCCTTCAGGCCTCTTCTTAGATTATGACTTCACAAGGTGGTTTGAGCCAAATGAGTATTTCCCTGTTACTGAAAAAACAAGGGCTGTGGTTCTTCCTCCCATCTCTGCCCCTGGTTTGTAATCCAAACCCCTGTCACGTAACACAAGCCAGGCTTCACGCTTTTTTTTGATCAGGCAGCGAGATAATTTAGCTTTATAAAATGGCTGAAAAGTTTTTTGGGTTTTGCTGGGTTAGCAAGTTGAATTAGAAGAACTCAAGAGCTAACACAAACAAGGTGTAGGGTACTGCACAGAGCAGATCAAGCTCCTGTCTGTCCTACTAGCAGCAAGAAGCTAATTTGCATCACTTGAGACAGTGCTCAGAGATAACCAACTTAACTACCAAAGGCAAGTTGGTGTGTGTTATTTTAGTTCTTCTCTTAATGTTGCAAAAGGGTATTCCAATCTCTGGCAGTTATGACAGTCACAAATTTAAGAAGAATTGGGATGAAATAGCTTTTTTGTTACACTTTGGCAAAGTCACAGCTGGAAGAATGGCAGTGGTGGAGGTCATTTCTGAGAAGCATCAGATTTCAAATGTTATCTTAAATAGGTAGAAATTAAAAAAGAGGAAAAAAGGGGGGAAGAGAGAAGGAAAGAAGGAAAAAAGGAAAAAAGAAAGGGGGAGAAGGAGAAAAAGAAGGGCGAAAAAGGGGGTGGGGGAGAAAAAGGAAAACCACACCCAAAAGTAACTTCATTTTTTTCCCAGGGTACTCTACACGTTCTTGTTTATCTGAGCAAGCCACAAACGTAAGCCTCTGTATCTGCACGCCAATTACAGCGCAGTTCCTGCGAATCCAGGTTCGCTATGAATCAGCGCTCGCCGTTAGTGCAAGGCTTGCCCAAACACAGCTTTCTGCTCTGCTCACCTGCTGGAGAAAGAAAAACTACGCCTCATGCTGTGAG